AAAATAGATAAAGAGATAGTTGAACCCTGTGACATGCTGTTTGCAGCACTGTCTCATGCTGTGTGCAGCAATGTCACAGAGGGCATGCTGTAGCTTTCCCCACTGGGTGGACAGAGTTGTCTGAGGCTGAGGGTAGGAGTCTGGAAACCAGCAGTGGCATGTGGAAGGAAAGAGAGGGAGAAGAGAGAATCATACAAGCAGAGAGAGAGGAGAAGAGAACAAAGAAAGAGAAAGAAGGGGGAAAACTCAACTACACTCACTAAGATTGGCTGTGATTGTAAAGAGGGAAGAGAGAGAAGGAGAAAATAAAGAATAAAGAAGTATCTGATCCCTGATTGCCTGAATGTAGGGCTGGAGGGGTTGAAACCCTGCCCCATGATGGCAGGTTGGTGTGCCCCTTTAATGCAGGAACCCAGTGGTGCTGGGTGGAATTTCCCTAGTTGGCGAGACCAACTTAGAGGCCCAACGGAGGTTTCCTCAGCAGCATGGAGCACTGTAGATGGCTGTCACAGCTCCCTTGTGTGGTGTACAGAACTCCCACAGAGGGCAGGTGGGAGTTCCCCCTGCTATTTGGGTTGATTTGCCCTAGATGGAGAGTAGTGTCCTGGAAGTCAGTGGTGGCGTATGATAGGAAAGAGAGGGAAAGAAGAGGAGAAAGTGGGAAAAAGAAAAAAAGGAAAAAAGGGGGGAAAAAAGAGGGGAAAAGAAGAAAGAACGGGAGAAAAAAACACCAAAAACAGACCTGAGCCCATTGAGACCAACTGCGGTGGGAAAGATAGAAGGGTGAGCGAATAAAGAAAGAAGAAACAGAGTGGTAAGTAAGAAGATAACTGAGACTTGATCACCTGTCTGTGGGGCTGGAGGAGTTCCAACTCTTCCTCAAGGTAGTGGAGTGGTATGCCTGTTTGATGTAGACTTCCATAGATGCAGGGTGGGATTACTCTTGAAGGCAAGATCGCACCAGCTGCCAGCCTCCAGTTCCCACCACGGTACTGAGCGCTGGAGTTCACTGGTATACCTGCCTTGTGCTGTATGTAGCACTACAGCAGGGGAGGTGGGGTGGAGTGTTCTCACAGCCCCATCTAGGGCCCCAGGAGAGGCAGAACCTCCCTAGCTGTGTGTAGAAACACTGAAAGGGAAACAACTTATTGGCCTATCTAGACTGCTGGTACCCTACT